CCGCATTTGTGAGGAGGCCGACAGACTGGGACACACGGGAAGAGGGAAAGCAGGGAGCAGCACCTGCTAGGCGGCGGGAGAAGGCTGGGGTGGGCTGTGGGAGGGTCAGGGACGGCTCGGTGACTCCCAGCTCCAGGGACTACATTGGAACAGGACTTGCCCCTGCTGTGGGGGAACTGTGTTCCTGAGGAGACATGGAGTCCTGACGCCCGGGGCGTCCACAGGGCCTGTTGATAGCAGGGTTGGCCGCTGCAGGTGTGGTTGGTGGGCATGAGGTCATGGGGCTCACAGTCCGATAGGCCTGTCATCCTTATCCAGAGGCCCCGGGATCGCACCCCCGAGGAAGCTGAGGAGGCCAGCACCATCAGAGGCCAGGAGGCCTGGGACTCTGACCTCGAGGCCTGGACCCGGAGTCACCACCTGTGGGGCTCTGCTGTCATAGTCCCCAGAGCTGGTGGCCCTGTCCCTGCCCCGGGCAGTGGCTCCCAGAGGGCCATGAGCCACCGTGGAGCCCAGCGGCCTTTCTCCTCCTCTCTGGCTGCTCACGGGGTGGGGCCGGGGCTGGTCCTGCCCTGTGCCGGCCAGCTGGGTCTCAGGTCGGCAGGCCGAGCGGGGCTCCGGCTCCCGTCCTCCCGGTAGGGGCTGCCAACCTCTCTGCCAACACGGGATCAATGCAGGCGGTATTTAATCACGCTCTCGGCGTGAGTCCCAGTGAAGAGCGTCTCTGACTGCCGGAGCAGTGCGCTGCCGTCCGTGACGGGAGACAAAGTTGAACCCAGATCCACGCAGCCGGCACAGCTGCCCCAAGCCCTCGGTGCCGCCCACAGCCACAGCCTGGTCCCACAGGGTTCTTCCTCCCCAGCTCCCCCTCCCCACCGCCTATTTCTTCCTCCCCCTCCCTTTGCCGCCACCCACATCAGAAGCGGTGAAGCCACTCTAGAGCCGCAGAGACGGAGGAGGGAGCTGTCCCACGCGTGAGGAGATCTGTAAGCGCGGAAATGATTGGCCGAGGTCTGGAACCCCGCCCTCCAGTCCTTCCGCTTCCTGGGGCGACCGCGGATCCACAGCCACGCGGCTCACAGGACCAACGCCCGCACACTGGGCTCCGGCCTGGTCCCCAGGAGGGGCTGGCAAGGTCCGCACGCAAACGGGACCTGTGTGAGGAGGCCGCAAGCCCCCGACGCCAAGTCTGTGCCGGGGAGGGGCCGCCTGTGCTCCCCGGGACGCCGGACAACCCCAAGCCCTGCGGTGTCCGCCTGTCCCTGGGGCCTGCCGGGGAGATGCGGAGCCGGGACGTCCTGCTCCCATGCAATCCCTTCCAGTCCCCTTTCTTTCCTCTCCATTCCGCAGAACCAGGACAACTTCCTGGGACAGGAGACGCTCTGATGAGGGGAGGGGGCTCGCTTGCCCCCGTCAGTGGTGCAGTGGTGTCCCGCGCCTGCTCAGGACTGGCTCTGCCCAGCATGGGGGAAGGAAAGCCACCCCGTGCCTCTCACCTCGCCCTGTACCTTTACACCAGGGGGCGCTCTCCTTCCCTGTCGGCCTGCCATCACCAGCCACTCTGGGGGAAGCTAAGCGACTTCCTGTTATGGTTTCTGTCTAGATGTCCCCAAGAGCCTCCTGCACTCACAGGCGGGGCTTCTGGGAGGTGACTGGATCCTGGAGCTCAGAGCTGACTGCTGTTGGGAGGCGGGGCCTGGTGGGAAGAGGGGGGCACTGGGGCGTGGGCTGGAAGGTTCCTCCCCCTCCCGGCTCCTCCCTTCTCTCTCGGCTTCCTGTCCACCATGCCCCGAGCCGCTCTGCTCCGCCCTGAGCCGCTCTGCTCCGCCCCGGCCCCTCTGCTGTGCCGTCCAGCCTTGGAGCCAGCCCACCGTGGACTGAACCATGAGCCATGCTAGACTTCTCCTTCCTTAGGTGGTGGGAGTCAGGTGTTGTGTCCCAGCAATGAGGAAGGGGCCTGGCCTCACGTCACATGGCTGACAGGTCCATGCTAGTTTGCTCTGGACTTTTCAGCAAAGTCCAGATTGAGGATGGGCCAGCCCTGGGTGACCCTGCCTTCACTGGGGTGGCTGGGCCCCCAGTCTGCTCCCTGGCCCCAGGAACCCCCTCTAAGCACAGGACCTCCAGCATCTGAGATTCCCAGCCCTCGCCCCAGACTCCCTGGCTCTAAGGGACTGGAAATCTTTGGCGACTGAGACTCGGCCCTGGAGCAAAGTGTCTGGGAGCAGCCTCCATCTGCTGCGGTCCCCCTCAGGGCTGTCCAGACGCTGGGTGGGCTATGAGAATGCCTGGCAGATGGTGGGCACCTGATACCCAGCACTGCTGCTGTTGACGAGACAGGAGACAATCCAGGTCTGCCCTGCCCTGCTGGGAGTGGACTCCACAAAAGCACTGCCGGCCTGGGCCAGCAGAGAGGGGACAGTGGCCCAGGGGTCACCAGGGGACATAAAGCACATGCTTGGTGAAGGGCGGGCAGGGCTGGGTCCCCCGGATGATGTGGGCACCCCTGTCTACTCCCCACCCTTCCAGCCCCAGCTGAGGCCCACTCTTCCTCCTCTGTGGTCCTGCCCTGTCCTGCCCTCTGTTACTGCCCCTACCATTCAGCAGAGCGTGGGGAGAGGAGACAGCTCTCCACTCAGGCAGGCAGAGCTGCTCCAGCCCCACACCGCACAGCATTCAGAGGCTACGCAGCACTGCACCCCATGGAATCACTCATCTGCACCCTCAGGAGGTGAGGTGGGTCTCCCTCCAGTGAAAAGAACACACGGACAGGTGTTGAGGATGTCGAGCGAGACTTCAGTAAACAGAAGTGCAGAGCCGTTCAGAGGAGGAAGGCTCAGAACAGGATGCTGCCTGCTGCCTCTGAATTTCATACGCAAAAGGAAATCAGCAAGGAAGTTCTGCTCACTAAAAACAGCAAAGCGATAATTAAACATTAGAACTTATTTTAAATGCGACAGTGGTTAAAAATACAGTGTTGACACAAAAATAGACAAAAGGACCCAAAAAGAAGTCCAGAAACAAAATCAAACATACAGGGCTTTACTATCTGATAAAGATGACATTTCAAATAAGTGTAGATCCTTTTTTTCAAGAAATATTGGGCCAACTGGGGTAAAAAAGCTGGGTTTTACTTTGTATGATGTACCCAAACAACTTCAGACAGATGAGTGAGGCAGGGGCGGAGGGGCGCCTTTACTGTCTTTGCTGTTGTACCGAAGCAGCCTTTGCCCACAGAAGCTCCGGGACAGGGAGAGGTTTGTTCGTAGTCATAAAGAAGTTGTATGATCCAGAAAGGAAAAGATTGCTGACACGTGTAATTTCCCCACTTTGAACAGCTTCGTTGGGGTATTTGACGCGCAATATCCCCAGGTAGGTAGCGAATGATTTGCTCATCTGGACAAATGCACAAACTCGCAAAACCTGTGCAGTCCAGATAATAAACTCGTCTGTCACTCCCAGGCCTCCTCCTGCCTTTGTGGTCCAGGCAGGCTAACTGCCTGTCGCCAAAGCCCAATGTGGGTTTTCTAGGGTGTTCTATAGACGAAATCCTACTCTTCATGCAGCAGAATTATTCTGAGATGTTCTTGCGGGTCGCACCTGTCACGAATCCGTTCCCTTTTCTTCCTGAATAGCATCCTACTGTTGGGCACTCTGTGCTTTCTGTGTCATTCACCTGTTGATGGACATGGGGCGTGTGGTGGTCTGAGCTATCAGAGCCCTGCTGACGGTCACACACAAGTAGAAGTTGCTGTTGGACATCAGCTTCATCCGAGTGCTGTATTTGTGAACGTCTGGAATTGCTGAGCCGTGTGGGAAGCCAGGTGTAACTTTTATGGGAATTGCCCCAGTGTTTTCCTAAGCAGCTGCCCTGTTCCCTGCAAACCCCCAGCGCCAGCAGCTCAGGAGGCTTCTGATTTCGTCACCTCCTCCCCAACACGTGTCGTTGCCCAATTGTTTTATGTTTTATTATTGCATCCCCCCACCCCAAGTGGGTGTGAGGCTCTAGGGCAGCCCTTCTGCACTTTCCGAGTGACTGATGACTCTTTGAGGTGCTCATTAGCCATTATTACATCTTCTCCGGTGAAATGTCTTTTGAAATCTTTTGTCCATTTTAAAAACTGGGTCATTTGTCATTTTATTCTTGAGCTTAAGGGTTCTCTATACATTGAATGCACACCTTCTTATCAGAGATAGTCTGCGCACATTTCCTCCCAGGCTGCAGTGTGTCTTTTCACTGCCCAAATAGCACACTTTCAAGGGCAAAAGTTCTTAATTTTGATGACAGTTAATTTATCATTTTTTTTCTTTTATGACTCCTGCTTTGGGTGTCACCCTCAAGAAATCTTTGCCTAACCTTCTATAACAAAATCTGAAAATTTTGAATTACAAAAAGGAATCAAACAAAGAGAGAAGACAAATGACTTACTGGATCAAAATATTTGAATTCATATTATCAAGTGCTAATTTGTCTAGTAGATAAAGAACTTCTACATGTCAATAAGCACAAGACCAGCCATCTAATAGAATAAAGTGCCAAGGGATACAAGCAGATAGTTCACAGAAAATGAAACACAAATGTCTCTCATGTGTGAAACGGCCCGCTTTACTCCTAAAAAGAGAAATGCAAATGAAGACCAGAGAGAGACCATGGCAGGGACCAGAACTGGACCGAGGCCGGGCAGGTAGGGAGGAAGAGTCGGGGAGCAAGCACCTTGGGCCTCCGGGAATCCACGGCCAGGGACGCGGTGGGCTGTGTCCAAGGCCCAGGCAGAGAGGGCGACGCCAGTCAGAACCATGCACTGCACATTTCACAACACGCATAAGAGAGGAGTTGGAAGGTTCGAGACAGAGACAGCAAAGCTCTCCAGGGATGGCGAAGCTGATTACCCCCATGTGAGCACCTGCAGAATTATCACGAGGCTCCTCGTAAACATCAATAAAAAGAGAAAAATATTAAATGCACATAACAGAAATCGCACCTCGGGAGATTCACCTACCTGTGAGAGACATATGTGTTCAGAGGCAGCTATGGCAGCAGGGCCTCGTGCGCTGCGGGCTGTGATCACGTGTGACTGCAGAGCACCCTCATGCAAGAGCCGTGGGCAGCGCTGTCCTCCCTCCCCGGGCTTCAGTGCGTCGAGCTGCACCCCCTTTCTGTCCAGCCCAGACAGGAAGGGCTGGGACCTCGAGGGACAGGCAGAGGGCTGTGCTCAGGTGGAGCTTTGCGTCCGAATTTGTCCATGCATCGCCCACTGGAAACCAAAGACAACGTGAGGGGAGAGGTAGGACAGGCATGGGCTCTGCAGAGGCCCCGAAGGCTGCGCTGGCTCCTATGGAAGATGCACACTTCCCGGAGCAACTCGTGTACACCCTGCCTTCCTCCTAGGCCTACAGCAACTATGATGAATGATTGGCTTTTCTTCTTTCTCTTTCTTTCATTTCTTCCTTCATTTCTTTCTTTTTCTTATTTTGCAGTACTGAAGATTGAACCCAGGACCTTTGTACTGAGCTTTATCCCCAGCCCTCTTCAAATTTGATAATTATATTGAGCCAGGGTCTCACTAAGTTGCCCAGGCTGTGTTCAAACTTGTGATCCTCCTGCCTCAGCCTCCCATAGCTCTAGGATTACAGGCATCCGTGCAAACCCTGTCCTCTCACTGCTCCAGCGGCAGAGGTTGCCATGCCGGCCCCCAGCAGGAGGCACTGCACCCACTCAGGGCTGAGATTCGGGGGTCTGCTGAGCCTTAAGCCATCCTGTGCTCCTTGGGGTCTTCCGCCTGCCATCTGCCTGACGCCCCCTTCCTTCCCTCCCGCACCCACAGCCCCCATCTCTAACCGCCAGGCCGGGGCCTACTGGCCTCTCCTGCAGCCCCCCACTCCAGCGCAGCCCCCAGCGGTGGCCCGCCAGCCCCCAGGAAGGGTGGGGGCGCCGGCCAAGGTCGTCCTCCGGAGCGGGGACCCTTGGGCCCCATCAGGAAACAGGAACCACAGCAAGGGGACGGATCTTGTGCAAAGGAGGACAGGGCCGAGGTACGGGGGGAGGGGACAGACGAGGGGAGGACGCAGGAAGAATAGAGATGTGCGTGTGCGCGCCAGCTCCCCACCCGCAAGGGGACCGTTTGTGCTACGAGCGCGCGCCCATGAAAATTCAGTCAGAAAACATGGTTGCGCCTGAGCTCCCTCTGCGCATGGTGGAGCCATCTCATTGTGTGGCTGCCAGCGACTTCTGACACGGCCCAGGCGTGAAGAGGTGGCTCCACACGTCACATGTGTGACTGTGGTCTCTGCCAGAACCAGCCCGAGTCCTCCGGCAGCTCTGTCAGCATGAAGACCGCACGCAGCCGCACCGCATGGCTGGCCAAGCCCAGGGCGCGGCCGCACCCGGACCGCAGAGCTCTGCTTCCGCCTGGTTCATGCCCGAGGGACTCGTGACCCTGGGGCTTTCTGCCGCGGTTTGAAGCTCGGAGAAGGCGCACCTCCTCTCCTTATCTGAATCTGGCGGGTGACGCTGCGCCCGCCCCCGCCCGGAAGGCGGCCTGAGGTCAGAGCGCACATCGCGCCGCGCCTTTTCTTCCCCTCTCGCCCGAAGCAGGACCAGGAGGGTGCGTGAGTGCTCAGCTCTGACTTCTCCTCCTCCACGGAGAGCATGGATCGCCAGAAATGTTGGTCTCGCACAGAAACCCACAGCTGCACCGCCCACCGCCCGCCCACCCATCAAGCCGCGTGGATCCGCAGAGCGCTTCAGCACCAGGCAAGGCTTCCTGAGCCTGGCAATTCTGATCTTTACCCGGCTCCCCACGGCCGGGGTGCCCCACGGGGCCGCCCGCTCCCGGCAACTACGCTGCACACGAATCATTTTTTAATGTTTGGCTTAATACATACAGATTCTTTAAACAATAAAAAAATCAGCAAACAGCACCCGAATCTGGAGATCTCTTTCTAACACAGAAAACGGTTTCTTGGTGGCACCGGGGACTCAACGGCAACGTGACAACATAATTAGAAGATTGTTCCTGGGAAGGGAGAGGCATTCTTCACGAAGCTCTTACTAGCGCAATAAGATTATTCTCCCTGAATAGCTAATCAGCCTTCTCCAGCTCCCAAACCCGGGGCTCGCGCCTCTCTCTGGTGCCTCTTCCCGACTCAGTGCAAAGTGTGGCACCGTGAAGGGGAGATTTCAGGTGTTAACCGACTGTGAGCAAACAGCTCAGGGGGCTGTGGGGAGAGAGGTCTGTGGCAGATTAGCGGCAATTTAGGAAGATGGCACTGTCGCACCTGGGCTGACAGCGCTGACAGGTTTGCTGATGTCGCTCCCGGCCTGGATCCCAGTGTCGAGTCTGAGGCGTAGAGCCTTGAGGAGAGAGCTGGCACTGGGAGTCCGTGCGACTGCACTGCTTGTGGTCCCTGGAACAAAGAGCTGGGGTGGAGGGGACAGGCAGAGTCGGGCGGCACCACCACCAGCGCCACCTCTGGGGAGTGTTTATCCCGGGGACCAAGCTGTTCAGCCCAAGCTGCTGCAGAGGAAGGGCCTGGTCCCAGCCTCCCCGCCTCAGACCCGTGGAGACAGAGGCAGAGATCTGGGGGGCCCTGGCTCAAACTCCCTGGGGCTGGCCCTTCTGGGTGGGTGGCAAGCTGCTGGCTTGCTCCAGGGTCAGCGATGACCACGCTGCAGAGAGGCACAGGAGCCGGAGCCGTCTCACCCGAGGTGGTGTCCAGCCTTTGTGGAGACCCGTGCTGTTCCCCTGCACCCCAGAGAGCAGAGGCTCCAACCTCCTCGAGGCCGGACAGGATCTGCAATGAACTGGGCTGGCTGGGGCAGTGTCCTGAGGCAGCCCAGGGCCCAGGCCACGGATCACACTCCAAATCTCGAGTTGTCCACACAGACAGATACAGACGCAGGAGTGGAGGTTAGCGGGCCACGCGGGAGAGGAGCCCAGGGGCTGGGGCAGCCCTACTGTGCCCACCACGCCCCTGAAGCCTCAGAGCCTGGCGGCTTCAGCCCTTCCCCCGAACCGCACCCTGGGCAGCAGCTTCCTGCTATAGCCTGGGTCCAGCCTCCTGGCCTGAGCCCGAAGCTCGGGAGACATCCCGACTCCGGCTGGCAGGCCCGGGGGCTCCCGTGGCCACTGTGTGTGCCCCCAGGTTGAGGGCCCCTCCCTTTGGAAGCCCACTGTTGCCTTGAGAGGCTCCTGAGGCTGTAGCGCAGCCGGCCGCTCGACACATACCTACCGGCTGTCAACATCCTCACTCTGCTTCCTCCCACTGCAGCAGCAGCCTGGCCGGCGCCTGTCCACACCGTACCCAACAGCCCACAGAGCCTTCCACCTGCTGCCCCCTCCTCGCTTGCTCCTCTGAGGCCCGAGGTTGATCTACGGTGCCTTCTCCTGGTTTGCAGCCAAGTCTGGCCTCCGGCCGGGCAGAAGAAAGGACCCCTGTTCTGGTTCCAAGTCTGTCCCTGACCACAGCACCCCGAAGACAACGCCGCCACAACCTCCATGCCCACGAGCTGACCTCCTCCACGGCGGCGCCTTCACAGTCCAAGGAGAAGCCTCCTCGCTCGCCTGTGGGCCACCCTCCTCCCCTGGCAAAGGCCTCTGCAGGCGGGACGGGCTTCTTCTCAGTTGCTGGACACAGAAACCCCTTGCTGACGTCAGTGACCACACTGGAGGAAGGAGGACACGGACAGAGCCGCACAGCCAGCACACCTGCAAGTGCCTCACCGGAGAGGATCACAGGGCACCAGAGCACCTGGACGCTGCCTCCCAGTGTGAGGCCATCGGTCCCGTCCCTGGCCAGCCGCCATCGCCCCATGTCAGGGCCAGGTGGGAAGCAGTGGGCCGAGCCCCGGCTGCTGTCCCGACTAAGCCCGGAGATGGAGGAAGCAGGTGCTGCCACGCTCAGGCCGCAGTGGCCCGAGGCAGAGGTCACCTCGGAGGGCAGTGGCCGAGGCATCACTGTCCCCGTGAGCAGGCGCCGGGCTGTCCCAGCACTGAGCATCTCCCACTGGGCAGAAGGCAGGGCCTGGCTGGCCGAGTGCAGCCAACAGGCGGAGCAAGGCTTCCTGCAGCCAAAGGAAATGCCGCCACCGCTTTCCTCACCAGCTGCAGGCTGTGTCCAGCCAGACTGGAGTCGCCGGTCGAAACCTGAACTGGCCGGCTTTCTGAACAGAGGCTGTCACTGCTGCAGAGAGCTCAGCGGTGCCAGGTGGAGAAGCTGGAGCTTTGACTTCTTGCCCACGGTGCGAGGGAGTCAGAGGGTGAAGGGGACCGCGTCGGACCCGGAGGAAGTCACTCGGCACACTCAGGGACAATGTCTGGGACAAACCCCCAGGACCAGCAGTGAGGTCAGGTGGGCACAGGACAGGGAGGAGCTTGGAGCCTGGGCATCCCCCCGGCGACCTGCCTTCCCCACGGCTTGGCTTGACAGTGTTTTGTCCACCGTGAGAGTGGGCGCAGTTCCCACACAGGAGGGCAGCTTGATTTCCCGCACTTAGCACAAATCACCGGGGAAATCATCTCATCAGCCGCTCCTCCAATTTTAATCAATTGCTTATTATCTCCCACACGTCAGCTTATCGCCATGATTCCTGCCATGGGAAATCATCACACCCCGCCCAGTGTGGCCTGGAGGGAAGTGAAGCCCCTCATTGACCCAGGCGGGCAGGACGTTGAGGGCCTGGAGTGTGGCTGCCCTGGCCTGGGGCCCTCTGCCAGTGTAGGCAGCGGGCAGCCCAGGAGGCCTCTCCCACAGGGATGAAGGTCCTGGAGGCCATGTCACCAGGTGGTGGCAGGGTCTGCACTTCCTGGACCCCTAGAGCCACATGGATCCCTGTGGGGGGCTCAGGCAGCACCAGCTGACAGGGCCGAGTTCTGGGTTCTCACCCAGGCCAGGGCGCCACTGAGGCCCAGATTCCATGTCTGCAAGTTTCCTGTTCAGGCTGAGTGGTGCAGCCCGCCAGGTGACAGGCGTCGGGTCACCTGGCCAGGACCGAGTCCAGTGAGGAAGGAGCTCCTCCTCAGCTGGCCCACCCGGTGGCCCTGTGACACTGGGCCACAGCAAGGCCCCACCGTCTGGACAGAGCGAGCTTCCCACTTCTGGGGTGACAGAGACAGACACTTCGACTTCAGTTATTCAGGCTTCATCCAGTTACAAACTCAAACACCCTCTCTGCGGAGAATCGCTAACAGGTGAGCCTGACTTTCTTAGAGAAAAGCAAAGAGGTCCCATGAGAATCCCAGGTTCTGGGGGTCACAGTGGAGCTTCAGCAGAGGGGACACTGTGTCCTCAGATGTCGGCGAGCGCACAGGGAGAAGCCGGGCCACCTCCAGGGACGCTGCCTCGGCCAGGGCTCCATACCGGGATGGCACATGGTCAGGGGAGTTGTGAAGGGCCCCAAACGCTGTCCTGTCTTAAACATCGGCCAGGCCACGGCCCCAGCAGCAGCTGCACCTGTCGCTTCCTGTGTGATATCCACCGCAGAGTGAACCGGTCCCCTCGTCTGACTTCCTGTGCAGCCATCCAGCACCGTGTTGGACCCGAGGTGCCCTGGTGTCCTCTATGGTCTCTGGCCAGCCCATGTCTGCCCTTCTGTCTGGGAAGCACCTCCGCGCCTGCTCCTTCTGGAGTGTCCCCTCCCTGTCCCCTCCAATACTGCTGTGGTGTGGTGGTGACTGACAAGTGACACAAAGTGAAAATATTAGTTACTAGTGTCACGGCTAGGTTCTTGGCTCCGTTGTTATAATTACTTCCCTTGTGGAACGGTCACCATTCAAAGGGAAACCTTTCATCGGTAAGGTGAGTGTTTTTAGCCAAAGCCCATCTGAGGCAGAGGATGACACTGAGAATTAACTCCCTGAGATTCTGGGTTCGGGGAAGGGCCTTTGTCCCAGGAGGCAGCAGGACACAGGGGGCTTACACCCCAGGCTGCGACTCTGCCGTCCTGGGCTCCTCCCACCCACGGGTCCCAGGAGGCAGCAGGACACACTCCGGGCCCCGGCCTCCAGCAGCAGGGTGTGAGCTTGTGGCGGGCGAGGGCACAGTCTGTGGTGTCAAAGTGCCACCCAGGGGTGGGCAGGAGGACAGGTGCCAGCAGGGCCAGGTCCTCGGGGTCTCCTGGGAGGACCCTTCCTGCCCCTCAGCTTCTATGTTTGTGGGGGTCCTGGGCCCCCCGGCTTGTAGACGGCCATCCTCTCTGGCCTTGATGTGTGGGTGGCGGTGGCCGAGTGTCCCTTTCTGAAGAGCAGTGGTCCTGCTGGACTAGGCCCTGGCCGGTGACCTCCCCTCAGCTTGCTGACCTCCATGAAGACCCAATTTTCAAAGAAGCTCACATGCGTGGGCTCTGAGGGCCAGGACTTCAGTGCACCTGTTTGGAAGACATGATTTAACCACACCACTGAGTAACTGATCAGTATGGATATAACCTCTCTCCCACGCCCAGCACGGGCTCAGGAATCCAGGTGTATCAGCGATTCTCAGCTTGTGGGCTGAAGACGCCAGCAGGTGGTGGGGACGCACTGGAAGGTCTAGGAGTGCCGGGGTGAGGAGTCTCAGGTGTGGCTACAGGGACTGCAGCTGCCCATTCACAAGGAGCCCAGTGTTCACAGAGGGACGGGCCTTACAGACTTCTCCCCTGGATGCCCCTTCTCATTACCCCACAGTGCAGAATGATGGCCCCCGAGGCCACACGTGAATCACACAGGTGCCAAGGTCACCTGTCTTGCTGTAGGTCCCACACCCTGCCCCTGTCGGAGCACTGCCACCACGGGACTCGCTCGACACACGGCCCTGCAGAATGGACCACACCGCTCTGCTGCTGGGAATTCGATTTTTTTCTTTATTTTTATTTTAATTTAGACAAATAGTTGTATATACTAAGGGTGTGGAATGTGGTGTTTTGATATATGTATATGTTGTGAAGGGTTTGCTGCAGCTAATTAACATATTCATCTGTGCTGAAGGAATTTTAATGGAGAAGCCAACTGGGAAGTCCAGGGGGCATCGGGAAGATGCAGGTCCGGAGGGGAGCTCTTCTGAGGCTGGAGCCAACCTGCCCAAGTCTCAGCACCTCCAGCAGCTTCCGGCCCTTCCTGGGCCAGCACTGCCCCCCCTTTCTGCTGCGGGGTCACCATGCACCCTACATCCTGCAGCCTGCTTCCTGTGGGACACTGGAGCCCCTTCTCTTCTGATGACACATCCTGGAGCATTCTGGCTTTATTCAAAGCACTATCACAGGGCATCTCCTGAATCCCAGACCATCTCTCATCCCTTGGGAGCTGGGAGGAGGCACAGCTGGCCCTAGAGAGCGACCTGCTTCTGCGTACACACACGTGGCCCTAGAAAGCCAGGGGAGATAGGAGTCTCCCAAAGCAATTCTGGGCTTCCTTCTGCGTGTGCACTGATGCTTCCAAAAACTAGGTTTTGTGCTGGAAGCTAGAAAGGTCGCCCCACAGCTGAAAACCCTACAATGGCCTTTCTCATCTACAGCTGCAGGACAGCAGGCAGGGCCGTCTGGCTGCATCCTCTGGTCACATAGGGGGTTTTCTGTGTTCCATGCCATCACCACACCCTGCTCCTGCCCTCTGGGGGCCAGCACTGCTGCCTCGTGACACATAGCTGCTCAGTGGGACCCGCACTGTTGCAGTGTGGCCACAGCTGTGACCAGCAGAGCAGGCTCCCTGCCAGAAAGAGGCGCAGGGCCCCAGCAGAGTGTGAGGATGGCACAGAGCAGATGACAGGGCCGCTGCAGGTGTCGGGGAGCAGGATGGGGCCCAGGGTCACAGACACTGGAGGTGGGGACGTTGAACAGGGCAGGGCAGCTGGGGCACATGAGACAAGGTGGGCAAGGTGGAGCCCAGAAGGAGCCAGGAGCCCGGGCACAGCCAGGGACTGCATC